CAACGTCAGTCTCCGCTTGTTGTCTGGCGGAAGACCGAATACAGAGTCCATAGAAATGGACTGCCAGCACTCCGACGTTGTCGGCAGTGATTGGAGTGGAGCCTGCGAATACGCAACAGGCTTCACGCGTTGGCACACTTCGCAAGCACGTACGTACTTGCGCACCCTCTTGTACTGGTGGTAGTAGAAGTCTCTCGTGAGAAGCGTGTATGTCCTCTCACGGCCCGGATGCCCTGCCGTGGGGGCATCGTGGTACTAGTACGTGATCCGCAGACGCAGATCATAATCATTCGGCACGACGATGCGACCCGCATCATCGTCCACTGCGCTGTAGGGCACCAGTCCTTCGTGCACACGATATCAGTGCGCACGAGCTCGTAGATGTGGCGACAACTTCCGACGTGATACGTCAGAAGGTGCTAAGACAAAGTCTAGCAGCGGTTTCGTGTCTGCGTCTCTCACATACGTGTTCTTCACGTCGTCGATCAATGTCGACGACGGAACACTTACTCGTTCGACGCCAATTTGATTGACGTCGGCTGTCTTAACAGCGTAATCAGGTCGATGCGACAACACGTCGGCCACCACAATTAACCCTCCAGGTTTGTACTCAACCTGGAAGTCGTACTCCGCAAAGAACGATAAACATCTCGCCATTCGTTGCGAGATGTGCGGCGTCTTCACTGCTGCTCGCAGTGAAGCGTGGTCGGTGTAGACTACGAGCGGTCTACTCCCAAATAAATACACTCGAAACTTCGCGAGTGCATACTTCATGGCAAGGAGCTCCTTGTCATGTACAGGGTAGTTACGCTCAGCTGGCTTCGGCTGACGCGGCTGGTACTTTACCACACGATCATGGCCCTCGTGATCGTGCTGCATCAACGCGCATCCGATTGCAAAGTCGGACCGTCACACACGATGTGGAATGGGCGATCTTGGTCACTGCCAAGATCGGCGGCTCAGTCAAGCCCTGCTTGACTGTATCGAAGGTCTGCTGACACTATGCAGCCTAAATCCACCCAGCCTCCTTTTTCATGAGCTGTGACAGCGAGCGTATTTTGCCCACGTAATTTTCAACGTACTTGCACAAGAACGATGCAAGTCCAAGGAGCTGTCTCAGTTCCTTCACGTTGGATGGCGTAGGTCATTCATTGATCACTATGACCTTTTCTTGGTCAGGGCGTACGTCGTTCTCCCCGACGAGACACTCAAGGACGGGTATCTCGCTCGCCCCAAAGATACACTTCTTCAGGTTCGCATTGAGATGATGTTTACGCATAAGCCCTAGCAGCGGACGGAGGTGCTCTTTGTGCACCTCAACGTCAGTCTTCTCTTTCACAGCCCGGCTGTCAACGAACACGTCATCGGAGTAGCTCAGTGCGAAGTCACGCACTGAGCGCTGTGTTACACATATACTGAAGGTTGCAGGGGCGTTCTTCATTCTCTGCAGCATTACGAGCCACTCTCAAAGCATACCGCTAGGAATGCTCACCGCTGTGAGAGGAATGTCCCTCTCACTTATCAGGATCTGATAGAACCCGTGGGCGCAGATCAAAAGTACTATAGATGGTGCTCTTGGCCATCGAATCAATGATAACATCTTTTCGTGGGTTATCAGCGTCCGCCCGATATCATTGCATCGTTCAGCTTGCTGTAAGCATGAACGATGCGCCATCCGCCCTGTGGCTTCTTGACACAGATGTTGGTTGGTGCGCTGTACGGGAAATTTAATCCCCATATTTGACCCGCATTACGAAGACTTTCAAAGAGGTCATCGATTGCCTTTACTTGATCACGCGGTAGTGGCCACTGCCGCTTCACACATTACTTCGCTCGCCGCACGAGGTCGATCTCGTGCTGTATGCCCTTGTCCTGCGGAATCTCTTCCGGGATCACATCCTTGTGCTCCAGCAGAACATCATAGAAGGGAATCGACTTCAATGAGTCCCAGCTCTGCTCGTCGAAGCACTGATTCTTCGTCCTCTCGCTGAGAGTGTCTTTACTCTCAGCGGTATCACCAGTGTGGAGGTGCCTCAGATCCTCCACTTCGCTTTCCACCCTTTAGATATCCGAAAGGATGCACATTTGCTCGATTCGTTCATCGTACAGGTCCTTCGCAAAGCGCATATAGTCCATGGCTACAAGCGACGTCAGCTCCGACGCATTCGTCGGAGGAATCTCCAGTTGCATGGACCGGTACTGGAGGCCAGTACTGGTCCGCGTCAAGACTATCAACGTCTCGACGCACGACGTCGTCTCCAATGTTTGCCCGGCGGACATCGCTCGTATTATCTCGCTCCGGACCAAGACTTGCGAAGCTTTCGTCGCTTGCGCCGTCTTTTGTTCTTGTGAAGTCCGGCTTTACATGTTTCCCGTCCAGACCCGGCCTTGAACGGATTACCGCTGTAACCGTCGGCGGATTCTATCCGCGGACGCGAATGATCAAGCCCGGCTTGATTGCATTCCGCTACGACGTGCAGCCCGTCTGCACGCGAGCACGCAAGCGTTTTCAGTGTTGGACGTTTGCAACCGCCAACACTGCTTGCCGCGTCGTCAACCTTTGGAGCTGACGCGCTGCCATCACCTCGACGCCTTTCGGCGGAGCCCTTCGTGAATTTAAACCAATCACGACCGTGTCATCTCCCGGAGCTGACACGCCGACACCACAGCTACTGTATGTGACTTGAAGCTCCCTCATACTTGATCTATCAACTCCCTGAGTCGATACGGTCATTGAAGTATGAACGTGTCTTAAATCTGATTTCCGAATTGAGACATACCCAACGACTGCCTTAGTCGTTGCGACTTGTGAATGGGCACCGGAGGCTGCATCATAAGGTGCTGCCACAACGGTGTGATCGGATGCACCTCGCAGTGCATGCGCGACACTGACAGGGCCATCGCTCTCTTTCGCGTTGCGTCCGAAGTGTAAAAGTGTATACTTCTCTTCGTTGATCCCTGGATCATGCCGTGCAATCCACGGCATACCCAATACCAAGTCAAGCTTATCGTCCAGCGCTAGAACGATAAGATCTTCCACAAACACCCGGTGTTTGTACGGCAAGCGCACGCGTGCTACGCACTTCTCCGTTCTTACGGTGGCACCTGTTGCCAACCGCACCTTCAAAACACTTCGAGGTGTTTTAACTTCCTCGAAGTTTTTCTTCAAGAGACTGTCCAGTCGAACAAAGCTGTTCGACGCACCTGAGTCAACCAAAGCACGAATAGAGCCTGCTCTCTTCGAAGTCACTTTCAGGATGACAAGATTTGGCTTGTCATCTCGCGTCTTGCAGCAAGAACCCCTCTCGCTGGGGCTGCAGTCCTCAGAGTCGCGTGCC